TAAAAAGATATTATCACTTTCAAACCCCCAAATATCTCTTTGAGTAAGGCAATAATTTCATATAGCCTCATAAAATAAAAATTGTTAGGTTTTGAACCTTCCTTGACGTAGTAGCTCAAAAGAATGAGTAGTAGGGCTTACGATGGGTAGGAAGTAATTGCTTTCTTTGGAAGTTAGGATAATAACTGAGAATGTTTATTATTTTAATACATTATGTGTATCTTTATAACAATTGTGTAGCAATCCCCAATGAGAAACAACAGTGGTAGATGATAATTGCTGGAGGACTTCTGTACAGCATACAAACTTTTTTAATTCAGAAGTTGTTCAGAAGGGATGGGATGTGGTTTGGTTGTCTTGTGTTTGGTCTATATGGCAGGTGGGAAACAAGGCTGTATTCCAAGGAGAAGAAGCTACAGAAGACGGTACTTTTAATCTAATTCAATGACTAAGAGGGATGATGCCTAACTGCAACTTTAATTTAGTCTATCAGATTCGCTACAAAATCCAGTTGACAGTTTGAAAGGTTGGGCAAGAAAGGAAGATGAATAGATTTAGAAGGGATTAACAGCTGAAATATTGGAGGGATATCAGTGTATGTTCAAAATATTCCTCTTAGAGGGGGAGAGGTGTATGTGCACTGTTGTAATAAGAGTTTGAGTACCATTTCTATTCATTTTATAAATTAGCTGTTCCAAAAAAAAAAAAATCCCCAGGAAATTTTTTAAAAAAACAATTTTGTTAGTTAAAGTACTTTTAAATTAATTTTTGTACATCTTAAAATTAATATTTATTTGAGAAATATTAAGATTGTGCTTTTCGTATAAACTTAATATATTTAAAAAAATTGATTTTTCTAAATAATGATTCTAAAATTTAAATCTTGAATTTGAGTTATTAGTAAATTTAACTTTTAAAATTATAATTTTTAAATATAAGTAATTAGCTCTTTACACTTATTTATTTATATTTATAAGTACAATTTTTGTCTATAACTAGTGTCAGTGGGTAAGCTTTTCTTAGTTATATGTGCTCAATTTATGTTCTATTTGAGGATGCAGATGCACCATGTAATCTCAAGTTCACCTATTAATATGACAAAAATGTGAAAGTGTTTATAACTATTAACAGAGAAGATAAATTCTTAATATTGAGTATACTGTATACCCCATCTAACTAAAAACAGCATTCTGAATATAAACTCTCTCTTATTAAAAAATAAATAAAAATCCTCTTCGCTCCTTGTTTCGAAACGTTGCAGATTAGAAGGAAATCGCACACGGGAATTGCAGACGGTAAGGTTTGGCTTGCAAAATAAAATTAGAAAAAGGGACGACAGAAAATAAATGCCAACGAAAAAATAATTGGCAGGGATATGTGAAAATAAAATGGTTAAACTCTAATTCGGTTTCTTAATTATTATGCAGGCTCTAGAATTAGTCTTTAAATTAAAAAAAAAAATTTTAATATAATTTTTATAATTTTTAAATTTAACATTAACTTAATCATTTAGAGTTGACATATTTAATTATTAATATGATACATAGTAGTTGTTAGGCAGTAGTGTTTTACTTTTAAGTGCTGGATACCAATAGGTTTTTTTTATTATTATTATTTTTTTATGGAAAGACCAATTTGAAATAAAATTCAAAAATTTTAAAGAGTAAATTAAAAATTATTTTAGTTTAATGACCAATTCAATAGTTGATACAATAATGGAAGGGTTTAACCAAACAAAATTCATCTCTTTTATTTTATTCTATGCTGAGAATCTCTGATTAACCACCGTCAAGCCGCCATCAAGCGCCAAGTTCTGCCCGCTGACGTAAGCAGATTCATCTGAAGCAAGAAACAACGCCGCCTCCGCCACATGCCCGGCCTTCAACGTAATGCCCTTCAAGTTGGCGGTGGCGCAGCAATTTGCCTCTAGTTCACTCGGCGTCAAATTGTAAGCCGCGCAAGCAAGCGGCGTCGCAACCCCGTACGGGGAAATGCAATTCACTCTGATCCCGTGGGCTCCGAGGTCGCCGCAGACGGTTCGTACCAGACCCACCAGGGCGTGCTTGGATACGGTGTATGCGTGGGGTCCCGCCCCTCCAATTAGTGACGCCATACTGGCGGTGCATATGATCGAACCCCGTATGTTTTGGGCCACCATGGCGCGAGCGGCGTGCTTGATAGTGGCGGCGACGCCCCGGACATTGGTGGCCATGATTGTGTCGAAGGCGTCGAGATCGAATTCCAAGATGCTGTTACTTACCCCTATGACTCCAGCATTGCTGAACAGAACATCCAGTTTTCCGTACTTCTCCACCGTGTAGTTCACCGTCTCCTCCACTTGCTTCTCATCTCTAACGTCACAGTGGCGGTAACATATTCTTTCTCCGCCGATTGATTCCACCACTTTATGCCCCAATTCATCTTGGATATCGGCAATGACAACAGAGGCGCCATTTTCAGCAAATAATCTCGCCGCCTCCTCGCCAATCCCACTAGCAGCTCCAGTTATAAGTGCCACCTTACCCTCCAACCTAACCAGAAGGGTCAGTCCATTACTGGGCTTTTGTAGATATATTGAGAAATATTGAAACTGCAATTTTGCAAAAGGGTGTCAATGCAGCAGAAGATGTAAATTGATTGAGAATTAATTGATCTTACCTTGGCTTAGACATTGGTGAAGATAGAAGAGTGTGACGATGAGGTTTGCTTAAGACTTCATTGGTCTTTGGGATCTGCTGTTGTTTATATAATCAAATATGGTCTCGAAATGTGAACTTGAATTGAATTCCACCTTCACCAGAATACAGGGAACAATAACACCCATGATCAATGCATAAGTATTTAACCTTTCCTTGGTTCATGGCTCGAGACAAAGTTGAAAACTAATTTAAAATGCCAAATTAGATCCACATGAGCCATGTGAGACACTGTCAGGATTGCAATAAGATCAGCTCTTTTAAATTTTGAGTATCTGCTGGACTACTTCTTCTTGTGTTTGTTGACTGAAATTTGTTGGTGGAAAGCAGGGTAAAGATGGAAGTGGATGTGCAGCCTGCTGGAGATCATATTAAGTCAATCAGTTGCTGGAATGAGGCATCATGATTCGGCATTATAGAGACAACTGCTGGGATTGATTTAGCCCATTTTGGCCATTTCCTCTATTTCTGTGCTTAGGTCTCTAAGCCTAAAAGGCTCTTGCACATCAGAGCAAACCACGTTGATAGATTAATCATTTTACAGATGCTTTCTGATTCTATAGAAAAGATAGAAGATTGACAAGGAACTATATTGTTGGTACTACCGTCATGATTCATGTACAATGCAGCTTGAGTTGGAGTGAACTAGGAATTTATAGTGTCTGCATATTTCGCATTCTACTGGTTTCTTTTATGAAAAAATTAGATTAATTGCTAGATTGGTAAATTCAATTTGTCATATATACTCTGCAATAATAACTTTGTAACATCTGCCTTTAGATGATACTTGAATCTTGATTGACTGTTTATTAACATGACAAAGGTGCTGTTCGAATTTGGTTCTTCATCCTGTGTAGTAGTAGCGAGTCTGCTTTATATAATGTTTTGCTTTTGTGATTGCTGTTTTCTGTTTAAAGTGATGAATAGGAATCTGTGAGTGTAAGTGATCTTTTGGAAATTGCTTTGCAACATTTGCAAAAAGCTATAATGCAAAGCATGCAGAGATTCTCTATGGAATGGACAGGTCTCGTTCTTTGTTAACTTTCCCAATTTGACATGATTTAACTAACTTTATTGAGATTCGACTTGCATTTGTTGACTGAAATTTGTTGGTGGAAAGCAGGCTAAAGATGGAAGTGGATGTGCCTGCTGGAGAGCCGTGGAAAGACTTCCTAACAGGTAAATTTATTAAATGGATAACAAAGAATGAACTTGGTAGCAGAAATTATCTTTGGCGCTGCTTGATTAGGGACTTTGTGTGTTGTATGAGTGTGAAATGACTAACTTATAATGCGGACGGAGTATCATAGTAAGGTTATGGCATAGATGTTATAGGGATGTAGTGCTGAAAAATAAGTTAATCAGTTGCTGGAATGAGGTATCATGATTTGGCATTATTGAGACAATTGCTGGGATTGATTTAGCCGATTCTGGCCATTTCCGTGGTTACGTCTCTGAGTCCAAAATGCTCTTGCTACATCAGAGCAAACCACGTTGGTAGATTAATCATTTTAGAGATTCTTTCTGATTCAATCGAAAAGATAGAAGATTAGCAAGGAACTCTATTGTTGGTACCACCATCATAATTCATGTACGGTGCAGCTTGAGTTGGAGTAAACCATGTAACTCATAGTATACCACCATCATGATTCATGTTCAGTCCAGCTGGAGTTGGAGTAAACCATGCAACTCATGGTATCTCCATATTTCGCAGTCTTCTGGTTTCTTTTATGAAAGATTAGATTAATTGCTTAATTGGTAAATTCGATTTGTTATATATACTCAGTGATAATAACTTAGTAACATTTGCCTTTAGATTATACCATAATCTTGATTGACTGTTTTTTAACATGACAGAGGTGTTGTTGGAATTTGGTTCTTCATCCTGTATAGTAGCAGCGAGTCTGCTTTATAAGATGTTTTGCTTTCGGTGGTTGCTGTTCTCTGTTCAAAGTGATGAACAGGAATCTGCGAGCGTAAGTGATCTTTGGAATATCACTTTGCAACATTTACTGAAAGCTTTAGTGCGGACTGCAGGGTACGCAAACATATCGTGATGAGATTCTCTATGGAATGGACAGGTTTTGTTCTTTGCTAACTTTCCCAATTTGACATGACTTAGCGATCTTTACTGAGAATATATATAGGAATGTTACAGACAGAACAATGAGCTAATACAAGTAGCTGCCCAGGATTCATGTGGAAAAATTTATAAGGTCTTAATTTATCACAAAGTAAATAATATTATCAGCATCTGTTTCTACACCACCTCTGTTCACCTTCCCCCACCATGTACATCCACAGGTAACTCCGCCTTTCTTAAAAAATTAACCCTAACAAAACTGGCAGCTGCCTTTTGTGTCCTCCACATGAAGCAGCCTCAAACAGAATGATATCTGCTAGTGAACAGGAGAGTTTATTAGAATATTTACATTCACCGTGTGCCACCGCCATCCAACAGACTCTTCAAGCGACAAAGGGCCTCGGCAGATAGGCTGCAACACCTCAATCTTCGTTGGCGAGGAGTTGATGGCTCCCGGTAATCCGAGGAGAAGCACACAACAACAACAGTGAGGTTGTCAAATGTACCGCGACGCAGAGCCTCCATGACAAGATCCCTGGCGCATTGGTCAGGGTCATCATGCCGCCGTAACCCTTTGCGAACTAGGGTAACTGCATGTTGACTTGTCATAACATCCCAAATCCCATCGCATGCAATGACAAGGAACTCGTCATCCTCTGTAAGAACAACCTGTCGGAACTCAGGTTCAGCAATTAGAGGTGAAGCAGAATCCTTGGGTTTCATGTCCCAATCCCCTAGTGCCCGGCTAACTGATAAAACACCATTTAGGTACCCACCATCTATCAACCCACCCAGCTCTTGAACTCGCATCTGTTCAGCTGGATAAATAGGTCGATGATCTTGAGACATATCAATTGCCTCTCCTCTTCGGCAAAGAACTGCTCGGCAATCACCAGCATTGGCCACAATTAGACGCCTAAAACAGCATAAAAATGGATCATCAGCACAAAAAGAGAGGAACACTTTAGACTCAACTACTTCATAGATGGCAACTGAAATTCCTAAGACATTTAATTACCTCCCAAATAACATAGCAGTAATTGCTGTAGTCCCAGAAGAACTGCTCACACTGCAGTCATCTGCTAGAGCAAGGTCAGCGGAAAGAAATGCTTTCATGAGAGAGTCCTCAACTCCTTCCAAGAAAATATCATCAACTTCACATGTCCGGGGAAAATTTACATCTTCAAAAAACAGCCTTACAGCATTTTTCTTAACATAGGCTGCTGCTTCAGGTCCTCCATGACCATCAAACACCTACATATGGTATACAACCAAATCAGTTACACAACATACAAGATCATCAAATTAGGCTTAACAACAAAATATGACAAAACCTCAATTACCCCATAGAAAGCACTGGGCTTAGGAAACTTGAAGAGGGACCCAAGATATGCTTGTAAATCATCTATCCGTATATGCTCATCTTCCATGTTTCTCCGGGGTCCAATGTCAGCAAAACTTCCAGAACGAATGCTAGGAACATATTGAAGCACTGAAGATTCTAGACTCGAATCAGAAATCTTTTCTGGAGATTCTATACCCTGAAATAGGAAAAGAAGTACAAGAAAGTAAACCGATTTTAGCTCCTCTTGGCAGAACCGTGAATTTTCAGCTAAAATTGCAATTAAACCATAACCCCATCTAAATTTCAGAGGAAATGATGCAAGAATTACTCATATAACTCAAGAAATTTAACAAGGATCAAGCAAGTCAACCTTCCTTCAATCATAAACAAATCGTTTCCATTTCGATCTAAAAAGCTAGACAACATGATTAGAAAAATCCCAAGAGAATTCAATAACCAGTGAGGAAGACTTCTACAAGGATCGAAGCAACCCGAAAGTGAAAATCAAGAAAGGAAAAAACTTAATAAGAAATTAAGAAACTGACCGGCTGAGGGGTGGGTAAATCGGCGGCGACCGACTCAGAAACCCGGGCTTTGCTAACACTCGGCGACGGAATCTCAACCTCCTCATTACTGCTTCCTTTGAAGAACTGAGCGTCCAGCACCGGCACGCTCTGTCGACACACGGCCTCTGCTTCAGCTACCATCTTTGAAATCTCCCAAACACCATTACCAAACACAAACCACTCCCGAAAAATCTTCAGAGATGCTCAGCTCAAATTCAAAAAATAAAAAGACTCACAGATATTTTCCTTGCTCAATTTTCTCTCTTTAATTTTCTAGGATTTTCTCTCTCTGTTTAGCAAAAGAAGCTAAATTATGAAAATCTTGCGCCAGTTGTGGTTGAAGTCGTATATATATGGTCGGAGGTCGGAGACCTGGAACCGGTGGTCGGAGGTAAAAGGAGAATCGTTTGCGAGACACGTGGGTAATATTGAGCCATGGGATTGTAGGGGACCGCCGATGACACGCGCATACATTCGAAGATACGCAGGTTGGACGCGTCACCGCTTAAGTCATCGATGGTGTCTTCCTATAAAATGACCAAGTCGTCCTTGTTGAGCTTACTTAAGATGGTTTGAATTGGTTGTTTAAATATAATTTATAATGGATAATTAATATCTAATGATTTATAAATTATTATTATCTCTAATATAAAGTATTCAATTCATTTTATTAAATTAAATAGTTGATAATTATTTGTAAATTGATAAAACAAATACTCCTTTAGCTTATTAAACTTGAATTAGATGGAAGGACTTTATTGGGGTTAAGAATAACCGTAAGTCCATTACTCAAATAAGATAGTAGAAACAAATTTACTCTTAAAAAATATA